GGGGGGGGGGGGGGGGGGAGGGGTGGCGCTCGCCCGCTAAACGTGGGACTTGAATAAATGCAAAGGAAAAAACAGGCATCCACCTCTCCTGGGGCAAACTGGTGCTTAAATTAGCCAAGTGCCCTGGGTGAGCCATGACCGGGCAAGGAGCGGGGAGTCCTACACGGAGACTGGAAACCGGCATAACCCTCTGAACTCCTTCTCAGGGGGCACTGGCCCAGTCTGCACCCCCCCGACAGAGATTCAGGAATTCCTGCCCGATTCCTCTTGAGGGACGCACTCCCTCTAACTTACGACAAAAGGCATGACTTTGCCATCAGTGTTTTCAGGTTTTCTGGCTCCAAACTCAATCAGTGAGAGCAACAGCCAGTTTCCCCAGATGGAAAAAAGAGGAAAGCCACGTAAATGGAAAGGAACATCCAGGGTCCATCAGGGAGGGGGAGACAGAGGGACAGGTGCCCATCCACTCCAACCCAAACCAGCCCAATCCCATCAGAGTGGCCCTTGCCCACCTGTCCAAGTTGGAAGAGCAATCAAAAGGCCCTGTTACCTCCTGTGCACTAGGCAGGTGGTCTGGAGAACCAATGGGGAAGGAAAGCACGGGGCCAGACCTTGGCTCAGCACCGTGCGACAGTGGGGTGGGTACTTTTCAAGGACAGGACAGAGCACTTGGCATTTCCCTGCCATCCCTCCTGCCACCAGGCCTGAGTCTCCCCTGTCTCACTCGGCCCAGGGTCTGCAGCAGGGAGCTTGCCTGAAAGAAGCCCAGCTCTACCTATCCGGATGGAAAGTTCACTCTCGGGGAAGAACAGCCTGGGACCCTCAGCATCAGACTTCTTCATGAACGCAGGGTCGGGGTTCAGTGCCAGGGCCATCTGGGGGTCTTCTGCTGCACCCTGAAACGAGAAGCAGGGGCATCACTGTAACACCCGTCTGCCTTCATTCCTCCGGCCCCTTCAGCTCCCAGCAGCCAAGGTGGTTTGCCGTCCTCTACCGAGAGCCCCGGGCCAGCCTAGTTCCCGGGCCAGACCCAGCTGTCAGGCTGGGCTGAGTCAAGAGCAAGGCGACAAGCTTTCTGGCTGCAGAACTTTGAGGATGACAACAGCGGGACCTGAGGCGTCGGTGCTGATCCTAGAAATGGGAAAAACACACACTGGGAAGGATCGGGTCGAACATCAAAGCCCCCTCCCTCCACGATTCATCACCGCTGGGCAGATGGCAGAAGGGACTCAGTTCCCCAACTGTCAAAAGAAGCCTGGAGGGCAGGTCCGCTCAATGGCAGCCTCGCAGCAGGAACCCAGGTCACCACCTCTCCAGAGATCAAAAGGGGACGAGAGTCAAACAAAAGCACCTCAAAGGAGGGCGAGTGACAGTCGTGGAGGACACAGCACAGTTGGAGGCAAAGCCCAGACAGCCTTGGATCACCACGTCACCCTTCTGCTTTGTCTGTAACCAGTCATTCTGACTGTTTTTGCATCAACTAGGCAAAGTTTGATTCTGACCCCCATGTTTATTTAACAAATATTTACTGACTGCCAACGGTGTGGATACTTGGCAAACTGACAAAGTTCTAGCTCTTAAGGAGCTTATGTTCCAATGGAACACAGGAGGAGCAAACAAGTGAACCTACCACGGGGCTCTGAGCTTCTCCAAAGACATGGGCAGGAACCATCTGACCCTAAGCGACGGTGAACAGGACCACCTCGATGGGGAAAGAAACAGCAGATGTTTTTTGAAAACCAGGCAAAAACAGCCCTAAGCAGAAGTTTCCATTTAAAATGTGTGTCCCAGGACTTCCCTGGTGGCGCAGTGGACAAGACTCCGCGCTCCCAATGCAGGGGGCCCGGGTTCGACCCCTGGTCAGGGAACTAGATCCCACATCCATGCCGCAACTAAGAGTTCGCACGCCACAACTAAGGAGTCCACGAGCCTCAACTAAGGAGCCCACCTGCCACAACTAAGACCCAGGGCAAATTAATTAATTAACTAATTAATAATAAATAAACGTGTGTCCCTAACAGGGGACAGAAGAAAGCTTATTAATCCAATCACTGAAATCCATCTATTCATAAGCAAACACTAAAACTTTTCTTGGGTAAGTTTCATGAAGGAATCTCACAAAAGTTACGCCTGGCTGTGTCTTACACACACACACACACACACACACACACACACACCTCGTTTTCTCATCACCATGTTGATCAGGGATCAGAAAGAGAAACTGATGATTCTGACATTTTACTTGGTTATTTCTGTCCAACTAAATGTGAACAACGAGAACATAAAAGCTTTTCCTCTCATTTCTCCAATATATTGATACTGTCCTAATCGTTTATTTACAATGTCTTCTATAATGCACCTTTTATTTTTTTTTTTTTTGCGGTACGCGGGCCTCTCACTGTTGCGGCCTCTCCCGTCGCGGAGCACAGGCTCCGGACGCGCAGGCTCAGCGGCCATGGCTCACGGGCCCGGCCGCTCCGCGGCACGTGGGATCTTCCCGGACCGGGGCACGGACCCGCGTACCCCGCACCGGCAGGTGGACTCCCAACCACTGCGACACCAGGGAAGCCCTCACCTTTCTTTCCTTTCTTTTTTTGCGGTACGCGGGCCTCTCACCACTGTGTCCTCCCCCGCTGCGGAGCACAGGCTCCGGACGCGCAGGCTCAGCGGCCATGGCTCGCGGGCCCAGCCGCTCCGCGGCACGTGGGATCTTCCCGAACCGGGGCACGGACCCGCGTCCCCTGCATCGGCAGGCGGACTCTCAACCACTGCGCCACCAGGGAAGCCCTATAATGCACTTTTTTAAAATTGAAGTGTAGTTGATTTACAATGTTGTACTAATTTCTGCTGTACAGCAAAGTGATTCAGTTTTATACACACACACACACACACACACACACACACACACACTCCTCTTCATATTCTTTTCCATTATGGCTATCACAGGATATGGAATATAGTTCCCTTATAATGCACTTTAATAAGGGTACCGACACCTCCTTTAATTTTGTTTTCAATGGGTAAAGAAGCCTGGTGGTGTGGTTTGAGCTGCCCTCGTTAAAGTTCTTAGGACCCTCTTTAGAATCCTAGGGACTGTGGGATTTCACCTGCTCTGTCACTGAGAGAGGCACCAAGAGAGGCAGACCGTCCCACTGTATGAGTCAAGGTTGACGCTGCAGATGGACGACTCTTGGAGACAGAAGGGACTTGGGGAAGGCCAGCGTCTCCCCCCACCCCACCCCCACTGAGTGACAGCTGGTGTCTGTGCCATGTGCCTCGGGCCACATAGTCGCAGCTCTTTGTTTGTTTATAAGCTTTAATTATTTCTAATCCTACATCTCACGCTGACATCTGAGGAATCACTGCAGCCGTGAAAGACGTGTTTCACTAGGAGAGTGCGTGCGTCGGCTGGTGTTTCTCCCTTTGTCTTGCTTCTTTTTAGAATGTGATTGATGCGGAGCTGAGGGAAGGATATGGAAAGAGAACCACTTCATGACAGCACAGACGCGGCCACCTTAATACGCTCGGGGCTGCTGCTTTGACGGGGGCCGATCAGTCGGGTGCAGCTGGGAGAGACCCTGGTTTTAATCGAGGACAGCAGTTTTCAACTGGGGTGTCTCTGTCCGCAGGGGACATCTGGCAATGGGCGTTTTTGTACGTGGGCGTGGGGGAGAATAAGGGTGTGGACATCTAGTGGGTAGAGGCCAGCGATGCTGCTAAAAGCCCCGTGTCATGCAGGACGGCTCCCACCACAGAGGATGATGCGGCCAAATGCCAATAGCGTTGAAGCTGAGAAACCCTGCTTCAGAAAGATTTAGGATGATCAGAACCTCCCTGTATTGCTGGTCATGCTGAGAATGCACAGACCTTCTCTTTATTGTCAAGATAAGAATTTTCCCGCTTCCTCCGGGAAGCCTGCCTTTCACGTGTTTGGCAAACTTACATTAAGCATCAGTTGTGCACCAGAACCATTTTAGGTCCTGATGGTACAAAACAGTCAAGTCCCCTCTCCTCACGGATCTTCCAGAGACAGACAATAAACTAACAATAAATTATAAAGTCGAGGGCCAGGTCAGGATAATGTTGAGAAGAAAAACAAACTCATCGCCATAGTTACACAGGACAATTGTCACGTGTACCAGGTTCAAGCCCCAGGCCAGGCATTCTTCTAGCATCTCCTAGCATCTCATTATGAAACGCAAAGCTGGAGGGCTCCTCCAGATATGGTGCTGAGGGAGGTCTCTCTGAGAAGGTGGTGTTTGAGCAGTGACCTGAACGGAAGGGAACAAGCCACACTGATTTCTGAAGATGGGGTTTCAGGCACGGAGCAGGAGAGCAAACACCCCGCACCATGACCCCCCTGCCAGCCATATCCTTTGACCATTTCATCAACCTACATTCCGCTGGTTGTACTGCTTTATTTCAGTGCTGGGGGCAGGGTGTACTAATACAATCCCACCCCAGCTTCACTTAGAGGCTGCCTTTTAAAAAGCTGGACAATGGCTTCCCTGGTGGCGCAGCGGTTAAGAGTCCACCTGCCGACGCAGGGGACACGGGTTCGTGCCCCGATCCGGGAAGATCCCACGTGCCGCGGAGCGGCTGGGCCCGTGAGCCATGGCCGCTGAGCCTGCGCGTCCGGAGCCTGTGCTCCGCAACGGGAGAGGCCACAACAGTGAGAGGCCCGCGTACCGCAAAAAATAAAAATAAAAAAATAAAAAGCTGGACAAAACCCCTGCAGATCCCACTTGTACCCACCCCTGTCCTGGGCACTGGGTCCCACATGTGGCCTTGGGAAGGGTGGGGCAGCTGTGCAGCGTGGGAGTGGCAGGGAGCACCCACAGGGTGATGCCGGAGGGGCGGCTTCTTCGCCCTGGTGCTCCCTGAGCATCCCTGAGCCCAGGCACCGGCCAGCCTCCCGGGGCTCCTTTCAGACTCCCTTCGGGATTCCAACATCCCCTCCGTCCACTCTCAACTGCTGTCGAAGAAAACAGAGAAATACATCCCTTGGGATTTCAAGGAACAGCCTGGCAAGGGACACCAGCGGTGCCTTGGTGGCTTTATCATAATGTCCATGATGTCGGGGGGAGAGTCAGGAAGCGCCTGCAGGGCCAAGGTGGCTCTCATCCTGCAGGCCTGACACCACCCCTCACTCCCTGGAGCCCTGTCTGCTCACCCAGCAAGGACACTGCAGGTGGAGGGGATGCTGCATTGTTTGTTTGTTTGTTTGTTTGTTTTTACCAGAGCCTTAAATAAACACAGCTTGGCCTGTGCAGGGGCGACCAAATCCCCTGGGGCGGGG